TTATATTCCTCAGCTGTATACCACCTTTAAAAATATTTAAGTATCTGTTGTGTATAAGGCATCAGCAGCCTTCATTTTGTCCATATGTAGTGGTCAAAGGAGGAATTAGCAGAGAAGTCCTGTGAAAAATCATTTTATTAGATTTGATCATAGCTTAATCATGGCATGTGTGAAACACCCAGAAATTGACTATGGTACACTCAGATTAGCCATCAGAGTGAATTTGCTTTTAGAGAGAAGTTTGGCAAATCTTGGAGTGGTTCCTAATGGAAACAGAACTCTTTGACAGTGTTTTAAAGTAGTTTCGTTCAGCATTTCCGAAAGTGTATTCCACCAGACAGGAGTCCTGCTGTATGTTAACAGCCTTGTGCAAAAAAGCTCCTGTGACCAAATAGCTTTGGGAAATGTGTTAAAACAAAATCAACTGGGCTTCACCACTAGAGAATTTCTATGAGCTTTTAACCCTTTAATGTGCATACGGAAGCTCAAGTCTCCTACACTCGTTTGCTTATAAAACTCTTATCCTCATAGTATCTCATAGCATATCTTGGCACCGGGGAGTTTTAAGGAGCACACTCTGGGAAACACCTTTTTGTTTCTCTTACTCTGATTTGACAAATGGGTGCAGATACAAATGATACAAAGATTGACCAATCAACCATTCCATTATTACACCCTCACCTATAAGAGGTACCCTAATTAAAAACCATCCTGAGAAGGATTTAAGCAAATTGCTTATGGCTTTGCCCTAGCAGTTACACAGCCTTGCAGAGACAATAATGACTCCATAAGCCAGGAAAGGCGATCCAGAGAGGGAACACAACTGTTCTGTGTAGAGACTCCATCCAACTCTGTGTTCGCCTTCCTTAGAAATCTTACATCTTGCATCCCTGTTGATTAAAAAGATCTGATTATTTGAACTATGGTGTCATCTTGAATTGAAAACTCTTTGTTCTTATAATCATGTTATCATGTCCTCCTAATTTAGATTACTCTTCCATCTTGCATCCTTAATAATGCATAAATTCTATGACATTATCATGTTCTTGCTTAAACAAGTGTAGGAGTTGCTGTTGGTTGTCTTCTGATCTTTCATTTCAACCCTCTTCTTTCTAAACCGGACCTCAACTTGGGTCAGATATTCACCCCTCCCACATATAGCCCATGTGGCTCAGGGGAGTCAACTCCATCCCCAGTTCCTGAGGTAGATCATGATTTGTCTAAGCCAGTGATTCTCGAAGTGTGGTCCCCAAACAAGCATCATTAACATCACTGGAACTTGTTAACAATGCAAATCCGTGGGCCCCATCCTCGACCTATTAAATTACGAATGTTGGGGTAGAGTTCCCCAGGTAATTCTGAATCACACTAAGATTTGAGGACCACTGTTCTTAACCAAATCTAGTAATCCCATATTCTTATCAGTAATTGATTCAGTGTGTGGTCTTCCCTTGGCCGCTGTGGGCATGTAACCTAAATTGAATAAAGAACAGAAGTTTGAGGGCACCTGGGTGGCTCAGTTGCTTAAGTGCCTGACTCTTGGTTTCAGCTCAGGTCATGATCTCAGGGTCCTGGGATCAGTCCAGCGTCAGGCTCCATGCTCAGTGCAACATCTGCTTGAGATTCTCTCCCTCTCCCTCTGCCCCTCCCCCTCCTGTGCAAGCTCTCTCTCTCTCTCTTTCTCTCTCTCTCTCAAATAAATAAGTAAAATCTTTACCAAAAAAGAAGAAGAAGAAGAAGAAGAGTAGAAGAACATATTCCAAGGTTGGAAGAGATTTTTTTTTTTCTCTCTCCCATGGAATATGAAGAAGGAGCTGCCATCTTAGAAGTTGGAGAGAAGCCTGAGGACAAAGTGAATACAAGGTAGAGCCAAGGAAATTTCAAAGATGCACAGCCAAACCTTGTACCTTCCCGCACCCAGTCCTACCTCTAACTTACAGTTCTGGGGAAAATTTACAGTATATGTTATTGTTTCAGTCACTTTAAATTGAGTTGTTTTGTTTCTATAGCCCAAAATATCCCATTTATTAAAATATGTGTACTAATTTTCTCATTGTTTAAGATTAAATCTGAATTCTCTATACAGGATATATTCTTATTGCCTTGCCTCTAGTATAGTGGAGTATTCAATTATGCTTAATGAGTGATACAAATGAACACATGCATGAATGAATGAATGAATGATCACACACTGAAGAATCAAGCAGATAATATCATCATTTTTATTACTCTTATCAAATATGATTGATTTAGAGTCATTACGAGGCCCCTGAAATAGTTAATCCATGAATGCAAATAATGACTTGTCATGTAGCCTTAGTTTTAACGCTATTATTTGCTGCAACTAAGTGAAAATTTTTCCAGCCATTTTAAGTGAAAATGAGAGTCTATTATAAGCTTACCGAAGTGTCTCATGGACCACATATTTTTATCCCTGACTCTAGCCAATAAGAATGAGTACCACTGGTAAGGGTAATGTAGATGAGTTTAAAAAAATGTTTTTGAAAGGGATCACCAATTATGGAAAAACAACACATTGATCCACAAGGCTACTTCAATGAGTGGGAAGACCAGGAAGAAAAGACGCCTCCCAATCTGCTCCTGGTCTTTTTATTCATTTAAGAGCAAAGCAACACCATGGGTTTTATAAATGGGAGAGTCCTTTCAGTCTTCTGGCATCTAAGACACTTTTTGCTAGCACAGGAGAGGCATACAAGGAGTCCTGCTCTTACCAGGAAAGAGTTACAAGGAATCAGTTACCAAAGTGAGCCCCAGTACTGCTACTTCATTTCTCAGCTCTGTGCTGGGCTCAGTAGGATGGGGAGAGACTTCCATAATTTCTATCCCTCTTCTGATGCCACTCTCTAATGCCTGCACCCGACTCTTCTCCTCATTCTGCCCACCCCTTGGCCTCCTGTCCTCCTTTCTTTGATTTCGTCCATTCTTTCTGTTCAGTCTGGAGGTGTTTTGTTACTTTCCTACACTTGCAACACTCCGCCATATTTTATAAAACTCATATATTAAAACAAAACAAAACAAAAACCAACCTTATAGTATTGACCCAAAGGTAAAACCTCATCCTTTTGTTTTTGGTTTTTTTAAGGTTTTATTTATTTATTAGAGAGCAAGAGAGAGAGAAACAACATGAGAGGGGAGAGGGTCAGAGGGAGAAGCAGGCTCCCCACTGAGCCAGGAACCCGATGTGGGACTCGATCCCAGGACTCTGGGATCATGACCTGAGCCGAAGGCAGTCGCTTAACCAACTGAGCCACCCAGGTGCCAAACCTCATCCTTTTGTAAAGAAGCCTTCATGTTTCATGACTGATTTATAATTGGGAAAAACTTGAAGAAGGACTTTTAAGATGTTCAACGTGTTATTTTACGGAAGATATACATATAGTTTGAGAAAGAGGACTATTTCTTATAAATGAAATAGCTAGGGCAAAGCCTTGTTGTTAAATGAAAATATTGGGTTAATTTCCTCCTAAATGAGTGAATGTATGTTTATCACCCTGAATAGTGCCTGATACATAGTAGCACTCAATACATGTGAGCTATGATATCAGTTAGGACTGCAGGTAACAAAACCTGGAAATAATAGCTTAAATGAGTGAGGGTCTTATCTCAGAAAACAGAAGTCTGGAGATAGGCAGGCTTGGCCTGCCAGAGAGCTCAAGGAAATCATTAAAGATAGGGGCTCCTCTGGCTTCTTGGGCCATCATTTTTAGTGGTCACAAGATGACTGCGGCTGTCTAGGCATTGCAAACACATTTCAGGCAGGAAGCAATACAAACATGGAAAAGGAAAGCCTTCACCTAGTGAGGTTTTACCTTTTTATTTGGTACCTGACTCTCTCCTCAGGCATTTCTGCCTACCTCTCATTAAATGTCCTGCAGGCTGGAGAAATGAGTATTTCAGCTGTACATATTGCCACCCTGAACAAAATGGTCTTAACAGAAGTAAAAGATGGAGGGTGTGATGAAAGGGGATTAGGAGAGAAACAGGTAAAGCCTTCTGTTTTATTTTTTTTATTTTATTTTTTTATTTTTAATGTTTTGAATTCATTCACTGTATCAAGTTCTCTTGTCTCTTTTGTTTCACTTGCCCTACTCTGGTCTCACTCCAGACACTAGTCACCTCTCCCCTAGATGTTCTCTCTCAACAAGAACTTGCCCCGTTTTTTCTCCTTTAAGACCATTACAGACACTTCCTATTTTCAAGGGCAATATCCAAACTCCCTAGCTTAATATTCATGGCCCTCTGTTTGAAATGCGCTAACACAGGTTGATGGAGCTCAGTGGGCTGGGACCATCATAACACCAAACTATGCCCTTGTTTCTGGAAAGACTTGTCGCCTAATGAAAACTGGCTACCGAACAATCAGTATTACATCAAAAGAAACTACTTTCTTCCAACAAATACTGGAACACTTTATTAGAGCCAGATAGGACAGATGTGGTGGGTCCACAGGTGTTAGGGCTCGGGAATTCCACCTCTTTTTTTTTTTAATTAATTCATGAACGACACAAAGAGAGAGAGAGAGAGAAACAGGCTCCCCAGGGAGCAGGGAGCCCCATGCGGGACTCGATGCCAGGACCCCGGGATCACGATCTGAGCTGACGGCAGCCGCTTAACCGACTGAGCCGCTCTGGCCCCCTCCGGAATTCCACCTCTAACTCAGGTTATGAGGCAGGAAAAAGCTTCTTGCAGGTAGGCATGTGGTTTGCTCCTCCAACACTCCCAGTCACGTGGGAAGGGAATATTGGAGACCTTTTCCCGCCCCAAAGAGGACGGGAGGAGCTCGCGGACTGCACCGCCTCCAGGCCCCGCCCCCTCCCGCGGGGCCCCGCCCACTGATGCTCCGAGTCCGCCGCCGGGCTAACGGAGTCCGGGGGCGGGGCTCACCCTTGCCCTCGGGGTCTCTCGGGCTCCGCCAATCAGCGAGCGCCCTGTTGGCCGTCCGCAGCTCCCGCGCCCCTCCTCCTCCCGCCGGCCTCCGCTTCCCAGAATCCAAGATGGCGGGATCCAGGCAATGGGGTCCCCAGGCCAGAGTTCAGCCTCTTTTCTGCGCCGTGCTGCTGTCGCTTAGTCGCTTCGCCGGGAGCGACGGCATGGGAGGCGACCCTGCGGCCGCTGGTGCCGCGGGCACGGCGGCCGCGTCGCCACACCGCCGTTTCGAGTACAAATACAGCTTCAAGGGACCGCACCTGGTGCAGAGCGACGGGACGGTGCCCTTCTGGGCCCACGCGGGGAGTAAGCCGGGAAAGAGGGCGGGGGGCCAGGGTCCCCTCCCCGCCTTGCGTCTCCTCTCTACCCTGTCCCTGCTGCACACCACTGGCGTGGTGGACCCTTCTCAGCAGCCCCTCCTGCAGGTCGGCTCTGGTCCGCAGGGCTCTCTCCGCCTGCGCCCGACTCTTCTCCCCATTCTGTCCACCCCTCGGCCTCCAGTCCTCCTTTCTTTGATTTCGTCCGTTCTTTCCGTTCAGTCTGGAGGTGTTTTGTTACTTTCCTACACTTGCAAGCACTCAAACTCTCTTCTAAGCATCGCGTTTCACCCTAACGCCACGTCTCTACGGGAACGTCCCGCAGCCCCACCCCCGGCCATCCCAACCTGAGACCTGTTCAAGCAGCTTCCCTACCTCCTTTCCCGCTGTTCCTAGGTCCTCCCCTGCTGTCTTTTCTCCGGTGCAAGCAATGGTTAATGCTCCAGTTCGTACCCCCTGATGACTCCAGAGATGGCTGGCATATGTTGATTTTAGAGTCGTTTTTAAGTCTTTTTATGTCCGAGGACATTGTTACGCTATTGGAACTACTACACCTTGAATTTGCCTCTTCCAGTGACTTGGTGTGGTCTTTGATCTTTTCAATTGTATTAACACATTATGTAACAAGAGTCCCACTCATCCCTTTATTTAGTAAAAGGGATATATTTTTTTTGTATTGTTTCTGCACTTGATATATTAAAATAACATTACATATACAGCCTCTTAAAAGTTGTATTTAGCTTTTTTGAAAATTGGAAGGAATCTGCTCCATGTTTTATTCACTCTGTGTGTCACTGTTAGTAGATAAGAGAGCCTTGCTAGACATTTACATATGTGAAAGAAAACGTATCTGTACTTTCTAGTGATGATGTGTCACTGCTGACTAAGGAATCAGCCGTAACACTTGGCATGCTGTAAGCTCTGTTCAGTGACCATCAGATGCACCCTTTGAAACAAGTGACAAATGCCTTTTTACGGGGTGAGAAGTTCTGGCATTTTGAGTTCCATCCCTGCGTAATTAAACAGTCACTTATATAAGGTTTGTATACATCGTTTTAGAATGTCAAGTGCTTGAAACAAAATATTCCATTTCTAGAAAGTAATTACTGAGTAGGAAACACACTTTTAGGAAGGACCATTTCACTGAAATTAATGTATAACTTGAAAGTGTAAAATTTCAATTTGACTTAATGACCAAGTCATTAAGTATTTGCAGTAGAGTGCCGTTATTTTGTTATTCAGCAGGCATTTGCTCTGTGCCCACTCATCAAGGATATATTGCTGGGCTTTTGTTATCAAGGTAACATTGTTCCTAATATACAAAGATGCTGCAGGTGTACCAAACACAAGTTTTGAGGGTTTTTGGTTTTTGTTTTGGAGTGATGATGAAGTTTTCAGTAGTGGTGATGAATGTGCTCACACTTTTTCACTTCTGCATCTCTCCCTTGCCTGCTTGTTCTTCTGTCTTTCACACTTATTATACCACATACATCAGCCAATTAAGAATGTTAATCAGCTACTCAAATTAGCTACCTTGACTTTCTCTACAGAGCCTATACCCAACTAAGCTTGTCTGCTGCAAAAATGTCAGGTCGTGTCCCTGGGTGAATTAAAGTTGTATGACTAGACTGAATTTGAAATAAAGGGATTAGTGTTTTAGTCATGACTTTTCTGCATACTGACTCTGGGAATCCCCGCTGTGAATACCCCTTGCTTTCATTATCACTAACTTTTACAGTCTCACTGTTTTCTTAACTCCGTTGATCATTTTTTCCCATCTCATTTTACCCTGAGATCCATTATTTAGAGCAATTTTTTTAAATAGAGAAATTTGAGATTTAGTTTAAACATGGCCCATTACATTCATCCCCCAGTGAAGATCAAATCGATGGTGTTTCTTTTCTTAACTCTAATGTCCTTTTGTACTGTTAGTACACATCCTGGGTTCATAGGGCACAAAAATGATCACAGCAATTTGTAACCCTTTGTAGCTCTCAGAGCTCTTTCGCCTGCATTTCTGATTTGATCATTTGTAGGCAAGGCAGGTGTTATCTGTCTTAGAGATGAAAAAACTGCTGCTCAGAAAGGTTAAGGTTCTTGGAAAAGGTTACATAGGTCAGGAGACTACAACTCATATCCAGGTCTTCTGATTCTGTGTCCACTACTCTTTCCATGAGGCTTGCCCCAACCTTTTAAGTGCTTGAAAGTGATGGTGACAGTGACTGATCTTACTAAAGTACCTCAACTTGTCTTTTGTCAGTTTTTCCTAGCTGTAAAGACATAATACAATTATTTCCCAGAATGGATGTCAGAACTGGTTAATACCTGAGAGGATGTGTTAGAATTGTTCAAACTTAGGCCTGATAGCTGCTTTAATAATATCTAGTTCTATAACAGGACTAGCTAACACTTATTGAAGTACTTCTGTGCATTATATGCCTATGAGGTTATTAGAGAAATGGAATAACTTGCCTATAATCAAACAGCTAGTAAGTGGTGGAGCTGGGATTTGAACCTAGCTTGAAGATGCAAACCACCATTTTGGGGATCACAATTCTCCTTGAGAATCTGCTGAAGCTAAAGAACTGTTTATTGACTTGAAATTGAGTTGACCCTCTCCCTAGAAGAATATATGTGCACAAAATTTTGCATATAAATTTTGGGGTGTTTATGGAAGTGATTGAGCCCAGCCCCTTCATTTTACAGGTGAACATATGGTGAACCCAAGACAGTAAGAATTATTTGCTCAAAGTCACACAGCTGAACTGAGGCTAGGAATAAGTCTCTTGATTCCTAGTGGTATGTTCTTTTCACACTGTTTGAGCTTTCTAACATTTGTAAACTGGTAAAATAGTTCCCAGTTTAAAAACAGTAATATGCAAGTTTTTGAGGTACTTGAAAAAGAATATAATGGGAATCAAATAGTTGATCTGCTCTTCAAGCCATAATTTCCTCCCTCCTGCCCCTTGAATTTTTAATGTATTGCAGCATTAATTTTATTTCGCCCAGAAGTATTTCACTATTTAAAAGATGGGGACAGGAAGGCTG